AAAAAAAAAAAAAAAAAGACTCTCATTCTGTCTCCCTGGGTAGGGTGTCCTAGTGTCATAGTCCACAGCAACCTCAGACTCTTAGGCTCAAGAGATCCTCTTGCCTCAGCCTGCTGGGTTGCTGGTACTACAGGCATATGCCACCACCCATGGCTAGCTTTTCTTATTTTTGTTTTTAGTAGAGACATGGTCTCTCTCTTGCTCAGGCTGGTCTTGAACTCCTGAACTCAAGCCAACCATCCACCTTGGCCTCCCAGAGTGCTAGGATTACAGGCCTTATCCATTTTCTCCTGCCTCATTCGACCAATAGTTAATTTAGCTACTACTTATGGTTCCTCCAGCCTTTAAAATGTTCTGGGATTCCCATCATCAGAGTGAATGGACATGCTGCCAGAAAAGGATAACAAGCTAAGTGCCCATTAATATATGGGAAGGATATCTTGGTAACATTTGTCACTTAACAGAGAACAGTTTAAATGGAAAGAAACACAGAAAAGATACATTTTGATAGCTGGGAAACAAGTCAACATTGTTTCTCAACTCCTGTGGCAGGTAGATCCTGTATTAAAGAATACTGACCTCAGAGTTCTTCAGATTAGGTCTTCATCCCAGCCATCGCATCTACTACATTACCCAAGGGTCTTATCCTGTTTCCCCTTTCTGCAAATGAATAAAAATAGTATCCATACCACAGAATGTTTATCAACACTAAAATATATGAAAAATGCTAGCATATTTCACAAACACAATAAATTATTGTTCTTAGGTTAGTGGGTAGGGAGGGTCCTCTGCGAAGAAACGGAGAAAATAGTTAATTTTGGCCCAGTGCGGTGGCTCACGCCTGTTATCCCAACACTTGGGAGGCCGAGGTGGGTGGATTGCCTGAGCTCACAGGTTCAAGACCAGCCAGAGTGAGGTCTGATCTTGAAAAATAGCCAGGCATTGTGGCAGATGCCTGTAGTCCCGGCTACTTGGTAGGCTGTACCAAGAGAATCACTTAAGCCCAGGAGTTTGAGGTTGCTGTAAGCTATGACGCCACAGTATTCTACCAAGGGCAACAAGTGAGACTCTGTCTAAAAAAAAAAGAAATAAATTTTTGCTTATGTCACAATTTAACCCAGGGATGATTTTGTCCTCCTTTTGCTTCCATGGCTGTTGCCTTTGATACTGCTCTGGGAAGTAAATTTCTTTTTTCTTTTTTGGAGACAGAGTCTCAGTCTATTCCCCAGGGTAAAGTGTCATGGTATTAGCCTAGCTCATAGCAACCCCAAACTTCTGGGGTTCAAGTGATTCTCCTGCCTCAGCCTTCTCAGTAGCTGGATCTATAGGCACCCACTATTTTTTCTATTTTTAGGAGAGACAGTGTCACGTTCTTTTTTTTTTTTTTTTTGAGACAAAGCCTCAAGCTGCCGCCCTGGGTAGAGTGCCATGGAATCACAGCTCACAGCAACCTCCAACTCCTGGGCTCAAGCAAGTCTCCTCCCTCCACCTCCCAAGTAGCTGTGATTACAGGTGCCTGCCACAATGCCCAGCTATTTTTTGGTTGCAGCCATCATTGTTTGGCAGGCCTGGGCTGGATTCGAACCCGCCAGCTCAGGTGTATGTGGCTGGCGCCTTAGCTGCTTGAGCCACAGGCGCCGAGTCCAGTGTCACGTTCTTGCTCAGGCTGGTCTCCATATCCTGAGCTCAAGGGATCCTCCAGCCTCAGCCTCCCAGAGTGCTAGGATTACAGGCATGAGCCTCTGCACCCAGCTTTGCTAAGTAAATTCTTGAAAAAAAAATTTATTTGAAAAATTCTCTGGGTTTGTGGAGCTGGTTATACAACCTCACACTCTTCCACTCAAGGGATCCTCCTGCCTCAGCCTCTCAAGTAGCTGAGACTACAGGCATACACCATAATAAGCTACACTCAGTAGCTTCAAAGAAATGTAATACCTAGGAATATACTGAACAAAGGAGATGAAGGACCTCTACAAAGAAAATTATGAAACCCTAAGAAAAGAAATATTAACAAATGGAGAACATAGTATGCTCATGGCTGAGAAGAATCAACATTGTTAAAAATGTCCATACTTCCCAAAGCAGAGTCAATCTACAGATTCAATGCAATCCCCATTAAATACCAACATTGTACTTTCAAGATTTGGAAAAAAAAAAATTTAGTTTTATATGGAACAGAAAAAACTCTGGATAGCCAGGGGCATCAGCATACCAGACATTAGGCTGTACTATAGACCATAGTGATCAAAACAGCATGGTATTGGCACAAAAATAGAGACATAGACATCTGGAACCAAACAGAAAACCATGAAATGAAACTAATATCTAATAGCCGCCTGATCTTTGATAAACCAAATAAGAACATACAGTGGAGGAAAGAATCCCTGTTCAATAAATGGTGCCGGGAGAACTCGATAACCATATGTAAAAGATTGAAACTGGACCCTCACCTTTCTCTATTCACTAAAATTGATTCAAGACAGATAAAATATCTAAATCTAAAGCATGAATCAATAAACATCCTTGAAGAAACTATGGGGAAAACACTTGAAGGTATCAGCCAGGGGAAAGATTTTATGAAGAAGACTTCAGTGGCAATTGTAAGAACAACAAAAATAAACAAGTGGGACTTAAAAAAAAAAATTCTCTGGTGTCATAATCATGATATTTTCATTCTATTTCCACAGCAGGATCGAGAGGATCCTTCCCTACACCGACTTCTAATAAAATGAACTTCTTTGGGGGTAAAACCATGTTATTAGTAGGTTAGGAACTAAACTGTGCAATAATATTAGTCTCCAAATAAAACCCTTCAAAAATCTATGCAATAGAAGAGAGGAAGTTTCTAAATCCAAAAAAGGTTGAAAGTTATGAAACAGGAAAATTTCACCCGAAGTTTAAACCTGCACACAGCTGCAAAGAAAGAATTTCCAACTCACTGTAGTCCAGTTTTCTTTTCACTGACTTTCTTTGGCCTAGCCATCACGAAAACGCGTACCAAGGAGGTGTCCAAAGGCATCATAAAAAATTTAACATATTTTCCCCTCTACTGGAGGGGAAAAAACTAGAGCAAATGCCTGAAGGGTTCTGGAAGCGCTTCAGCTTTCCCGCTTAAAAGGTGAGGGGGCGGGGCCGGAGGCTGGGGCGGGGCCCGAAGTTGGGGCGGGGCGAGTTGCTTTCTCCGCTCCTCCCTCTTCTTGTCTCTCAGTGCCCCTCCCACACCCGTTTCGCCACGATCCCGACAGGCCCCACGGCTAGGAGGGTCACGTGAGGGTGGGCGGGGGAGGTGGAAGCTTGACTCTGCTGGTTGTTCGTTTCTATGGTTGTTAGAAGTGGGCGGCTTTGACTGAGGAGCTGGTGGAGCTCGAGCGTGGACGGGTGAGTCTGGGACTCGGAAGGGTTGTGAGGAGACAGCAGTTTAGGGAAGGAAAAGGAGAAGGCGGTGGCGAAATAGCTTTAGAGACTTGGGCTGTGAGTCCAGCTGTTTGTCTGTCCCCGGGATCCGGCGACTTGTCAGGCTGGCGGGATACCTTAACTCTGCCTGATGCGCTCGGTCCTGGTGCGGAGAGGAATCCTTAGTTCTGCCTGCTCCCCATCCTCCGCTTTCCTTCACCTCCCCGCTGCCTTCTCCCTGTCCCAAGTGAACTTCCAGTGTTGGGTTCCCACCTTGGGCGCCGACGGTTTACTCCCTATAGGTAGCTTTGACTGGCTTTCCTGCAGTTTGTGGGGGAGTTTACGGATGGATTTCTGATGGGGGAAATATTAGCCACTTATTCGAAAAAAGAAGTGGGAAATCAGTATGGACTCAGGGGAGCAATACCAAGGGCAAGGTTCTGGAACGGTTCAGTTTTTCTTTTCCAGCCCTTTCTCGTTATCATCTTGTCTCAAGTGTTTCTTCTCACCATCCCATCCTGGCCCACCGCATGATGTTTTGAGAAAGGGCCAAATGTTACTGACCTATGTGAATATTGGGAAGAGAGTTTAAATCGGACTGTTGTATCTGCAGTCTTGTGATTTATGGTTTCTTTTCCTTGTCTTTTAGATGCCTAAAGAATCCTGAGGGTATTATTATTAATAAAAATATAAATAGAATATGTAGGCAAATACTTTGTAGCTAAGGGACTAAATATTTTATTCTCCCTGTGGTACTTTGGAAAGTCCTTTTTTTCCCCTGTTGTTTATAAATAGAAATTTCTATCACACATTTTTGGATGGCTTCTTTAATATACCTTCGCTTATGTTAAAGCATCCCTTTAAGTCACCAGCGGAGGTGCTCCAGCAGTTTAAAAAAAGGAAAAGTGAAACATTTGGAATTGATAGGCGAGTTTAGGTTTCATTAAACTCTAGGTCAAATTAATAAAAACATCAGCATCTTGAGGCAAAGGTGTTGGTTAGAATGACTGACTCGCTGTCTTTCTGGTATGACCAATGTTATGAGCTTGTTGAATATGCTTACTCCAAGAACTTTAGAACCTCAGCTTGGCGCCTGTGGCTCAAGTAGCTAAGGTGCCAACCACCTACGCCTGAGCTGGCTGGTTCGAATCCAGCCCAGGCCCGCCAAACAATGACAGCTGCAACCAAAAAATAGCCGGGCGTTGTGGTGGGCGCCTGTAGTCCCAGCTACTTGGGAGACGGAGGGCTGAGGCAGGAGAATCGCTTGAGCCCAGGAGTTGGAGGTTACAGCCATGATGCCACGGCACTCTACCCAGGGAGACAGCTTGAGGCTCTGTCTCAACCTCCTCCCCCACAACCAAACTTTTAGAACCTCCTGCCATTTGTCTGTGAGAAAGTGATTAGCTGCTCTTTGTCCCTACCCTTCATAGGTCCCTGATGATCTCTTCCTCTTAAGAACATCACACTTGCTACCTAATTATATATTAAAAAAATGTGTTGACAAGCAGAAGAGGCCACTAAAAAAAAAAAAAGTGACATTGACACCTATGTGTCCTTACAGAAGGTGATAAAACATAAAATAATATTAACAAAAAGTGAAGGTAAAAGAGTGGCTTTCCTGTGCTTGAGGAGAAAGGAAAAGAGTGGTAGAAATGAATAAAAGCAAGGCTGGGCCCCTGTAGCTCAGTTGTTAGGGTGCCCGCCACATGCACCAGGGCTGGTGGGTTTGAACCCAGCCCAGGCCTGCTAAAGAACGACAACAACAACAAACAATAGTCAGGCCTTGTGGCGGGAGCCTGTTGTCCCAGCTACTTGGAAGGCTGAAGCAAGAGAATCGCTTAAGCCCAAGAGTTTGAAGTTGCTGTTAGCTGGGACACCAGGGTACCCTCCCAAGGGTGACATAGTGAGTCTCTGTCTCAAAAAAAAAGAGAAACTAATAAAAGCAAAATAACAAAAACATTTATTGCTGCCTTCCTTTATAGATGCTTCACATTCCCAAGAGGTACCTCTTTTTTTTTTCTTTTTTGCAGTTTTTGGCCAGGCCAGGTTTGAACCTGCCACCTCTGGTATATGGGGCCGGTGCCCTACTCCTTGAGTGACAGGCACCGTCCCCAAGAGGTACATCTTAGACTGACTTTCCTATATTTAAGAATAAAACAGGCTCTGCCCCTGTAGCTCAAGCAGGTAAGGTGTCAGCCACACACTTGAGCTGGAGGGTTTGAATCCAGCCTGACCCACCAAACAACAATGACAGCTGCAACCAAAAAATAGCCAGGCGTTGTGGCGGGCGCCTGTAGTCCCAGCTACTTGGGAGGCAGAGGCAGGAAAATTGCTTGAGCCCAGGAGTTGGAGGTTGCTGTGAGCAGTGATGCCGTGGCACTCTACCCAGGGCAACAGCTTGAGGCTCTGTCTCAAAAAAAAAAGAATAAAACAGTCATTCATAATTACTTCCGTAATGCAATATTATGTAAAATAATGGTAACTAAAATATTTAACAGGTTAATTTCTTCAGATCTTATTAAGAATTATAGTACTAACATAATGGATAAAGCTTTTTAAAACTTAATTTTGCTACTTTTAAGCTTTGTAATACCTCTGAGCAATTTTTACAATGCTGTAGCACTTGCTGAGCATTAACCATTTTTTCCATGTGGAGTTTTTAATATATCCTTTTTAAAATGAGAACCATTTATTTCAGAGTCTTACGAGAGTACAAATGTTTTGGATACATGAATTGCTTTTGTACAGTTTGAGTCAACGGTATAAGTGCTCTTTACCAGCGTAGTGTGTATTGATCTCATTAGGGTGAATTTACCCATCCCCTCCTGCTGCCTCCCACCTGCTTTCATTCCCTTGAGTTTTACTACCAAATGTATACCAAGTTAATAGTGAGTAGTGAGTACATGTAGTGTTTGTTTTTCCATTCGTGGGAAATTTCACTTTGAAGAATAGTCTCCAGTTCCATCCAGGTTGTTACAGAAGGTATTGGTTCACCACTTTTTTATGACTGAATAGTACTCCGTGTTATACATATGCCACATTTTATTAGTCTACTCGTGTATTGATGGCCACTAGGGTTGGTTCCACATCTTTGTTTATGGGAATTTTGCCACAATAAATATTCGAGTGCATGTGTCTTTATGATAAAATGACTTTTTTTCCTTTGAGATTGCTGGATCAAATGGAACCAATTTATAAAAAGGGTTTACTGGTGGGGCCCGTGGATCAGTAGGTAGGGCGCTGACCACATACACTGAGGCTGATGGGTTTGAACACAATGACAACTGCAACAA